TTTCTTGGAAAATATTTAAAGAAATAACAACTATATATATATTATAATAGAAATGGTTAAGCCGAAATCAACAGTTATATCAATAAGAACTGCTACGACTGTTGCCACTTCAAAAAAGAAAATATGGAATTGTATAAGTTGAATTTACCGAATGGAATAGTTAATAATTTTATTAATTATTCTTTGGGTAAAGAAAATTTATGTAAAATTTGTAGAAATTGGAGATATTACCAAGAAGCAATCGAATGTAATTTGGATATTAAAAGGCTTAATGAAGGAAATGTTGAAGATGCAATCTTGATATTTTTAACTGTGTATAAAATACCACCTTATGATTATGTTAAAGCATTTCTTAAAATTAGTAAGAAAAGTATGAAATTATTGACTACATATAACGGGCATTGATTTATCAAGCAAAAAAGGGTTTGATGTGAAAAAAGTCATTAAATCATATATTGAAAGTAAAAAGTCTAATGTTAAAAAATGGTGAGAGATATTAATATTATTTTTAAAATGATGTATGAAAGAAGTAAAAAATATCAATTAAATAGTTATCCTGAACTGAAATTATAATCATACTATAATAATAACATGTAAAATATTATATGTTAGAATTATATTTCAATATTTAACTGTATTTCTTGAAAAAATATTTAAAGAAATATTAACTTAATATATTATATAGTGAAATGGTTGAATTTTCTGAAAAAGAGCAAGAAGAAATTATTAATGACTTGTTGAATACAATTTTTACAAATGGTATGTTAAAAAATATGGAAAACAAAATTGAAAACAGTAGTTGCAAATTAGTAGATGAAGCTGTTGAACTGAGTAAATTAAATTTACCAACGCCTATTAGTAAAAACATTTGTGAATTTAATTATGAAAAACGTAGCAAGTGTATATGGTTAGGGTCAGTGATGGAACAAGTAAAAAACCCTGAAAGAGGAACTGGTATAAATGAATATGTTCATTTCTTCATTAAATGCCATAAATTTCCAGACAAGGAAGACTTGAGAGAGAAATTCAAGTTTTCATTGAACAGGATTGATATTTTAAGGAACATATATAGGGGCATGTGTAATAACGATGTTGATAGAATAGTTTACTGTTGTGAGAGAACAAAATTTAGTTATGATAACATGATAAGAGACTTTAACAAAGTCATTCAATACATGTATGAAAACGAAGATTGCAGAAGACCATTTATGAGATACACCGAGTTTATAGAATGCCCACATTTTAAACTAGCAGAACTCGACGAAGACAATGATTAAAACCATACTATAGTAATAACAGTTATACCCTTATATGCTATAATTATAACGTAAGTATAGCGTTTTATATATTGAAGATAAAATCCTACAAGGAGGACCACGCCTATTAAAATATATGATAAAAGTGGTGAAACGAAGGAGGGGAGTGATGTTGTTGCTGTTCTATTTTTTGTCCGAGAAATGGACAAATCGTTTTACACAGTTCGAGTTTTTTTGATGACAAATATGTTTTGCAATATAGTTTGCAAAATTTATTTTTTTTGAAATGGATGAGGTGAGGAGATTGAGGAAATGATATTTTGAAGGGTAGTTGGTGAAATGAGTGAGGCGAGGAGGAAGGAGAAAAGGATGGCGAACATTTTGGAAAATGATGAGAAAAAACGGATGAGATGGACAGAAAGTAATGTAGAAAAATGATGAAAACGAATAAGGGTATAAGATGGAAGATGGAAAAAGTTGTAGGGTGGGGTGTATGGATGAAAGCAATTTATTGCTAGGCGTGGCCCTCCACTACTCCATCAACCCCCCCTGCCAGAACAGAGGAGAACATACGAGACGGCTTCTCGCCCTGCACACGCGTCCGCGCAACCCCGGCTCAGGGCATGAAACTGTCTCTTCTGTTCTCCCCTCTCCTAGCAAATCAAGGTCAATTTTAGAACAACACTCCCTTCGCACGGCGCCTGAAGCGCGTTCTCGATTTCTGCGTCCTCCTCCACCGCGCGCTTTGCCCGGCGGCTGTGCCAGTTTCCGCTTGAAGCGGCTCCAGGGGTCATATCCCAATACGCCGGCAGGCCGGCAGACAGACGCGCAAGCAAGAAAGCACGCGGACAAGCCATCGCCCGGAAGCAAGCGAGCAAACAAGAAAACAGGCAGGGCAGGCAGGCAGGACAGCACGCAGGCAGGCAACAGGCGAGCAGACGAGCAGAACAAGAAGACCTGCAAACAGACAAGCAAGCAAAAAAGCAGGCGCGCAGACAGGCACCAGGCAGGAGACTGAAAAGCAGACAAGCAGTCACACAGGAAGGCAAGCTAACAAATTAAAGGACCGGATAACCCCACATGCTATGTTTTTCCCAAATGTCCACACACATGTACCGTGCGCCCCTTGTATGGATGCGATTACAGAGCACCCAGATGCACAGAATGCAGCGCCTGCCACGACTTCGGCAACGGCATCGCCAAAGTGCTGCGCCTGCCACGATTTCGCAACGGCATCGCCAAAGTGCTGCGCCTGCCACGATTTCGCACACCCCCCGCCGCGCGCGCGACAACATCCTGTCCCTCTAGACAGCTGCCGAATGCGACCCCTGCCACACAAACACACACCCAGATGCACAGAATGCTGCGCCTGCCACGACTTCGGCAACGGCATCGCCAAAGTGCTGCGCCTGCCACGATTTCGCAACGGCATCGCCAAAGTGCTGCGCCTGCCACGATTTCGCACACCCCCCGCCGCGCGCGCGACAACATCCTGTCCCTCTAGACAGCTGCCGAATGCGACCCCTGCCACACAAACACACACCCAGATGCACAGAATGCTGCGCCTGCCACGACTTCGGCAACGGCATCGCCAAAGTGCTGCGCCTGCCACGATTTCGCAACGGCATCGCCAAAGTGCTGCGCCTGCCACGATTTCGCACGCCCCCCGCCGCGCGCGCGACAACATCCTGTCCCTCTAGACAGCTGCCGAATGCGACCCCTGCCACACAAACACACACCCAGATGCACAGAATGCTGCGCCTGCCACGACTTCGGCAACGGCATCGCCAAAGTGCTGCGCCTGCCACGATTTCGCAACGGCATCGCCAAAGTGCTGCGCCTGCCACGATTTCGCACACCCCCCGCCGCGCGCGCGACAACATCCTGTCCCTCTAGACAGCTGCCGAATGCGACCCCTGCCACACAAACACACACCCAGATGCACAGAATGCTGCGCCTGCCACGACTTCGGCAACGGCATCGCCAAAGTGCTGCGCCTGCCACGATTTCGCAACGGCATCGCCAAAGTGCTGCGCCTGCCACGATTTCGCACGCCCCCCGCCGCGCGCGCGACAACATCCTGTCCCTCTAGACAGCTGCCGAATGCGACCCCTGCCACACAAACACACACCCAGATGCACAGAATGCTGCGCCTGCCACGACTTCGGCAACGGCATCGCCAAAGTGCTGCGCCTGCCACGATTTCGCAACGGCATCGCCAAAGTGCTGCGCCTGCCACGATTTCGCACGCCCCCCGCCGCGCGCGCGACAACATCCTGTCCCTCTAGACAGCTGCCGAATGCGACCCCTGCCACACAAACACACACCCAGATGCACAGAATGCTGCGCCTGCCACGACTTCGGCAACGGCATCGCCAAAGTGCTGCGCCTGCCACGATTTCGCAACGGCATCGCCAAAGTGCTGCGCCTGCCACGATTTCGCACGCCCCCCGCCGCGCGCGCGACAACATCCTGTCCCTCTAGACAGCTGCCGTGAGTCAGCGAGTGTGAGTGAGTGAGTGAGCGAGTGAGTGAGTGAGTGAGTGAATGAGAGTGAGTGAATGAGAGTGAGTGTGAGTGAGTGAGTGTGAGTGAGCGTGAGTGAGTGAGTGAGTGAGTTTGAGTGAGTGTGAGTGAGTGAGTGTGAGTGAGTGTGAGTGACTGAGTGTGAGTGAGTGAGTGTGAGTGAGTGTGAGTGAGTGTGAGTGACTGAGTGTGAGTGAGTGAGTGTGAGTGAGTGAGTGTGAGTTGAGTGAGTGTAAGTGAGTGAGTGAGTGAGAGTGAGTGAGTGAGTGAGTGAGTGAGTGAGTGAGTGAGACGGAGACGAGCGGGAGGAGGAGGAGGAGGAGACGCGGCGCGCGGACGACGAGCGGAAAAAGTAAGAACCCCACACAAAGATGTGGGGAACAAGCAAGTAGGCAAGCAAGCAAGCACGCAAAGGCAAGCTAACGGACAAACAAGTAGGCAAGCAAGCAGGCACGCAGACAAGCAGCCAAGAAAACAAGCAGCATGCAAGCCAGGATGCACGAGGACGCAAAAACAAAAACAAAACGGAAGGCAGGCAGGCAGGCAGGCAGGCAGGCAGGCAGGCAGGCAGGCAGGCAGGCAGGCAGGCAGGCAGGCAGGCAGGCAGGCAGGCAGGCAGGCAGGTGGGCAGGCAGGCAGGCAGGCATGGGAGGGGTCGTGCCCGGGAGCACCGACAAGCATTAGCAAAACGGGCAAATAGCACAAAAAGCGGCATCACAGACACAAAAATCCCTCATCCCCGCGTCTCCACATCATCCAAACTGGGTGGAAGGGGGTCGGGTGGCGAGGCGTGATCTTGACGCACGGCGGGTGGCGAGTGGCGAGTTGTGATCTTGACGCACGGCGGCTATGATGTCTGACTCTTCGCGCGGTGATGTCTGACTCTTGTGCGGTGATGTCTGGTCTTCGCTGGAGGAAAAGCGCACTTGGCCCGGCCACGGACCCTACGGACCCTACGGACCCTTGCGCCTAGCAACACTCCAGTGACAGCATCTCTCTGGACTGAGCATGGAATCCTCATCTCTCTGACAAAAGCTTGCTTTTGGCTGGCACGGGCTTTGCCTGCTCTTGTCAAGTCTGCTTTCATAGATGCGCCGCTTGAGCCACAAGATTGGCCAGCATGACGCGGCAATGCTGCATCGCTGCAAGACTGGAATGCCTGCTGTCGGATGGTCGTTTTGCAGGTTGACTTCTTGCCAGTCCTTTGCCCATCCCTGCCTGCCCAGTACTTTGCCAACTTCCGCGGGCAGCACCTCGGACCCAAACGACCCAAACGAACCCAAGGCTCCATTTGTGCAGGATTCTGCGAGCATCTGGCGGTGATGACACGTTGCGCGTCCCCCCGAGGCTCCTTTTCCAAGCACAAATGGAGCAGCCTCGCTGGGCAAGCAAGACTCCTCGCGGCCAGGGGAGGGATTATTCCTGACGTCCTGCCAGGCCGCAACGCAATCTGAGTGACAGCGCTTGACCTGCGACAACCTGGCACCTAATTGCGGACTCCGACGCCTTGATGACCTGTCCGCCATCCTCACGACCTCTGTCACAAGCGTTCATTGAGGCTCACAGACGGTCACAGAGTTACTCACAGACCCCAAAACTCTTGCTGGGCCACAGTAGAGCACCACATCTAGAATCAGATCCACGGCTGCATCTTGATCCGCTCGGCTTCCAAAGATGTCTACAGACCGCTCCTGCGCGAATGGCGCGCTGCTTGGAGAACGCTGTCCCAATACGAGTCTGGGCAAGTCTGGGCAAGTCTGGGCGCCTTTGTCGGGAGCATGTCTTCTTCTTTGGACACCCTGATCCGGGTGTGAGTCCTCGAGGAGTGAAGAGCAAAGCGAAAGCAAAGTCTCACGAAACAAAGTCTCCTGTGTTCAATCTCCCGCAAGGCTCTGCCATTCCTCCCGATAACTTTGGCCGCATCACTGTGGAGAATCCACACTCTTGCCTGCGCAAATTGCCAAAACAAACACGAAAAAATTAAAGCTCCGCTGCGAGCCTCGGTCTCTTCCTGCGACACCAGAAATAAAATAAACTGCTCAAAGCGGAAACCTTCCCATCTCTGTCTCTGTCTCATCTCACTGTCGCTTCTCTCTCATGCCTCAGACTCGGGGCAGCCTATCGGAATGGCCTTGCGTTTCCCGAGCCGGGCCCCGCGCGTCATTGACTCCAAGTGCCGGACATTGACGCCCGTGCGAGGGGACCTGCGCGATCGAGGCTTGCACCGAGGCTCTCTCCCGCAAGCTGCGCGACGTTCGCAATTGAACGAAAGCAAACATTGCCTGAACCCCCATAGAGTCGGCCCAAAACGGACACGTTTTTCTAGTACTGTGTGCTGGCATTGCTCTTGCTTTGTGTTACAGCTACTGTTTGCGCGGACGGTCAAACAAATCCAAACGACATTTTTGCAGTGGTGGTTCTTGATTGATCCTGCGCGGCCACCCTCCACAGGATGGCGATTGCAGCCGAGTACTTTTCCTGGCAGTTCGACATCATATGCGCTGTGAAGGCGCCGATTGCACCACGACGCCTGCATCACACGGTCAGCATCATTACGCCTGCGTAACGGCGCTTATGGCACTGCGACACTGTCGGCGGTACGACTTTGACACCGTCATTCACTACGCCAACCCCGGCTTAGCTCCCTGCATTGTGATGGGGCACGCAGCCTTTCAGTGCGACGATTCAACGCGTGTTCCTTGCAGCCCCTGCGTTACGACGATGTCTGCGTCTTATGGCCTGTGCATCTCCATGGTCTGTGTTGACGCGACGAGTGCTCATGTGTCGCTGCGTTTGAATTGATGCCAACATAGGGCAGCTGTTGGGGCCTCACTTTGCCCAAATGCCATCGGCGCGGGCGCGTCGCATGCGCCTCAGGTTCTTGGAATGATGGAAACCCAAGTTTGACTACAATTGAGACTCGGGTTTGACGCTGCTTGAGATCTGGATTTGCTCATGGAGTGAGCTCAAATATTGACTGGATCCCCTGCTTTTCTCGCATGGTAGCGCGGCCACCCTGGCTTGATCCTCATCATTCCGATTTGACCTTTTCTGGCTTTGCTTCAATCTCCAAAATTCATGTTTGCCCCCGCTCAACATGACTTGTCCTTCTGATGTTGGTTGCAAAACTCCTCGACTATGTGGAACTCCGCGTAGGCCACGCAAGTCTTTCCCTTTTGTTACATTACGGCTCTGTATATACGGAAGAGCCTGCGGGAATCGCATCGCTTTAGGGAAGATCAATATTTATGCTGGCCCGTATGTGACTGCGTGGGATGCAAAGCGTTGAAGCTGCTCGGCGCAGGCTCACGGAGGCTCACGCTCGTGATCTTGATAACCCTTGAAGGATAAGATCATTGCGCAAGGAAACATGAACATGAACAAACCGCAGGTGTGGTTTTTGGTTTCCGATGCTTCGAGTACGGTTCGTTCTTTGCACATCGGGCCTTGAGCGGCTGTCAAAGTCCTGTCAAGTCTTCAATATCTCTCCGCTCTCCAGTGAATGGCCCCTCTGGGGTCGACGAAGTCAGGGAGAGCTAGTTTTGCCCCCTTCAAACCTCAATCTATATGTCCCCATACACCACCCGATTCTCCGCACCATCGATAAGTAAGTCCGACAAGTATTGCTCTCTTTCTATGCGAGGTGTCCCTGGTGCGAACCACTGTTTTTGCGAAGGCCATAATAAATCGAGCCAAGGCCCCTCGAGTGCCAGCAACTGACCTTTGTCCGACAGCTCACTTGCCACACTTATCCTGTATCGGACGGACTCCAAACTCGACGAAAACGGGCCGTCCTGGCGTCGCCGTCGTGGGGACCTCCGTGGGGACCTCAGCTGTGTCCGTCAAAGCCCCGTGCCGAATGCCGAAAAGTCAAAAAGCATCCGATTCGACGCGCCTGGAGCGCCTCCTCAACTTCGCTCGAGCCCGGCCTCTCTCGACGCGACTCTCCGAGCCTTGAGCTTTCGGCCCTTCGGCCCCTCGGCCCCTCTGGCCTTGCCAGCGCCTGCTGCGCGACCGGTGCATAGGTGCAAGGGGGCCAAAGCTGCGGAGCTAACGATCTCGAAGCGGTATGACTCCTACGAGATTTGCACCTGCCATGCGGCGCACCCAAGACACGAACAATTCATTTCTCTCATTTCTCTCTCCCCAGTCATTTCTGTGTGACGTCAGCTCAGGCTGGCCTGAGCCTCAGGGCTGAAGCTTCACACACGCATGCGTGGCATCATCTGAGGGGCCGGAAGGGCTGGAAGGAGCAAACCCTGGAAGCTGCTGAAGCTGCTTGGCGCACGGTGCAAAGCCCCGACTCACCTCTGACTCTGAAGGCTAACTGTCGCTAAGCCCACTCACCGTGCTTACTTCACTGATGGAAGTTGAGGTGCATGGTCAATCCCTCCAAAAGGATCATCAATGATCAAAGGCTCGGCATGAAGCGGGACTCAGACCTTTGCTATCCGGATTCCAAGCCGAGTGCGGTTTTTGTGGCTTGGGATGGAACTTGACGTTCGCAGGCACACTCTTGCACGACCTTTGCAGTCGGCTGTCTGTTCCCAAGTTTCAAAGGCCTCAGCTCGGCTCGGTCAGCTCGGTCTCGTATTCTAATCCAACCCGAAGAGATCGAAGCAGTCGAGCTAAGTGCGACACGAGCATCTCAAACGCAAGAGGCGAAGTGGACATTGACGCGCAGCTATGCCGTGCGGCTACGGCTAGTACGGCTAGTACGGCTACGGCTGTCTTGAGAATGCGAGCCGGACATCGTCCTGAGAACCGGCTGGTCCTCGGACCCCGACCCCGGCCTTACTGCGCCCCCCGAGTTCTTAGCCAATCGGCCACCCAATTTTCCCCCGACCCCGACCGGCCAGCCACAAGCCCGCTCCCGGGTCTTCCGCGAGGCGTCTCAAGGCGCTCTGGCCCCTGAGCTTAATATGTTCACAACTGCATGCTCCTCTTTAGCAAAGATGTGACTGCCTCAAATTCATTCCAAGATATCGGCAAACGGGCAAAACATCTATGTTGTTCTCACGGGAAAGACAGGTACACTCGTCTCACATCTCCAAACAGAGCGGATATTCATTGACAGACCTCCTTTTGGTGCCGGTGCCAGCCGGGAAGCAAAGGTCTCCAGCACCAAGAAATCAAGAAAACTACCAAGCTACTGGCTCAGCTGTCTAGGCGAGTGCTCAAAGCAAGCTCTGGCTGGAATTGCACATCTGTCACAGCACGCTACAGCACGCTACACTTATGGAGTCTCATGGTCAGGCCCATGATGCACGGCACCTGCACCTGCACCTGTGGCTTTGGGACTCGCTCGACTCGCTCGGGTAGACCACGAACAGCTTTGCTTTGGGAGCCAGCTGGCCAGGGCGTTGATGGCGCTCACGGTCCGTCACGTCTGGCCAGCCAAGCCTAAGTTCCACCGAGACAAAATCTGAGATTCAGAATGCGTTCGGAACGCGAATGTGACGAAATCCGCTCGCCGAAAGATCGAAATCGAGGTTACGAGACTTGCCACGGCTTGTCAGTGCCTTCACTGATTCACGCATGGGACACCATGGGCCGGAACATGATCGGGGATGTGCGATTCGTGGACCAGCGGCAGAAAGGCATGCATTCTGAATCTGAGCTGAATGCGCCCACTGTGCCCATTGCGCCCACTGCGCTCACTGCGCATACCCTCGACCTCATGCCTGTACCCCAGGGCTATTTCAAGCTGACCCAATGCCGGGAACACTGGGAGGTGCTGGGAACGCCGGACGTGCGGGCTCGGCATCTCTCAACAGGAGAACTTCAGAGTCGGTATTTGAGCCGTCAGCAAGTGTCACAGCTCAGGCTTCAGGTTTCAGGCTAAGGCGGGAGACTCGGAGAGTAGTGAAACACAGTTGCGCGGCACAAAGGAGAGGCAGGCCGGCAGTCTTGCTCCCAAGATGAAAGCTCTCCAACTTGCAATGGAAACCTCTCACGAACCTACCGGGTAACCTACCTCACAGTTCAATTGATTCAATCTCAACACAAGCTCTCTCATCCCAGGTATAGAGCCTGAGCACACCGAAGTGAACCCCCGAGTCACGGGAGTCACGGGAGTCGCGGGAGTCACTCGCTTCATAGATCCAAGATGGTCAAGACATTCAAGCTAACTCGAGCCTAACTCGAGCCTAACTCGAGCCTAACTCGAGCCTAACTCGAGCCTAACTCGAGCTCATTTGCTCACGTGGGATCCCCGCTGGTGTGTTCCCAGCCGTGCCCGGCATTTCAACTGAAACGACTCGCACGGCGAGGAATCGCACGGAATCGCGTCGCGCTTCCGAAGGCGAGGAATCGCATCAGCCTCAGCCTAGCAACTCTTCTCACGCGGCTCTCGCGCACGTGCTCCTACGTCCACATTTTGCACATTTCGCACATTTGGCCAAGAGAATCAAGAGAATCAAAGACTTTCACATTTCTCCACATGGTCGAAGTGAAGATCTTGCCACTTACCTAGTCCGAATTCACGCTATACCCCGGCCTGCTCACGGTGCCTTGCGGTAGCCTCACGGTACCTTACGGTACCTTACGGTGCCTGTGCGACAGCTCTCTGAGCTTCAGGGCGTGTCCAGACGGCAAGTTCACCAGAGCGAGAGGTACTGTTAGAGCCGAGTCAGTTCGTCAGTTCGTCACGTGTCTCGAAGCCGATATTTGCCCGAATGCGAGGTCAAGACAGGTCAATGTTAGCCCTTGGGTTCTCGTCTCAGGGCCCAGCGCGTAGGCCGCGTAGGCTCGAGATCGGTGTCCCACGAAAGCGAGCCCTTTGACTCAAAGCGAGCCTGGGTCTTAGTGAAGGCGAGACGGCGTCTTGCAATGGATGCAATTCGTCAGAAAATTCACTCGGATCACGATCGGGAGGCAGGTTGCATGGGCCATCGGAAGCTCAGCCCACGTCTCAATTGCGGCTCGACTAAGCTTTCAAAAGCTCGGCTTCAGATCCGCGTTGAAGGCCTCGATCATGCCGACTTCAGACAGCTTGCTTCGATGTCTCTCCCCGAGAGTCTCTCCATAGATGCTTTAGGATGCGCACAGGGTGTGCACAGCGCGCAGAGCGCGCAGAGCGCGCACAGCGCGCACAGCTTTCAGCGAAGGCTTCAGGCTGGGAGGGCCTCTCTCGAGTCGAGTCATGTCATCGGAATCGGAACCGGAACCGTCGGCGCGTCCTGGCTAAAGCCATGGCTCTAGCTACGCTTAGAACTGCAGAAACTTCTTGCAGCTCCAGAGTCACGGCGTGTCACACCAAGCCGGCCCGATTCGGAGATTAAGCTGATTAAGCCCAGTGCAAAGTGCGAGGTCAAAGCCTCTGCCTTCCGTACGCGTACCGTACCTGGCCGTTCAGCTCTGGGGTTTTGGCACCCGTCACACTGACCCGATCAGGCCATCGGGCCGTCACCATCGGCACGCGTGGCACTTGGCATGGCTCGAGCTTGCACGATGCAAACGCCACAAACGCCACAAACGCCACGAACGCCAACGCCTCTTTCAAAGTTGAGGCCGGATGGCAAAGTCACGCACTTCGCATGTGAAGACGAAGTGCTAGATCTGCGCACCTTGGCTTGAACATGACAAAAAAATGAGAACATGCAACCGTCCAACGCAGGCTACACTGCTACACCCAGCTGAGACGCTCAAAGGACCGCCTCAGGTGTCAGGACAGGAAACCATTGGTCTCTACGAGATTGGCATAGCGCCCCATGGATGCGAGGGGAACCGCTCAACTCACGCAACCCCTTGAGCCATCGGACCAACTTGCTTGGCTGAGAACACTTAAGCCGGCAAGCCTCGAAACATTGCAGTTTCCGTCTCAGCCATGAGAATGTCAGCTAGATCAGTTTCGGGTCTTTGGAACATCAACTCGAAATGCGAATCAAAGCAATGCAAAGTTCGAAATGCATTGTTGCTTAGACATCAGTGTCGCCCATCCTTAGATTAAAAAAAAAAAGCTGAGGCTTTTGATCTCTCATGTCTCGGCCCATGTCTCAGCAAATTGCGGGAGCGCAGGACGCCTGAGCAAGCCAAATCTGTCCGAAAACCATGCAAACCTTGACCGAAGTCGATTCACATGCCGCACTTTGCAAATTGGAACTGTGGTTTGCTGGGACCACTGCAATTTTTGGCCACAGCTCTGCACATTCTTTGGCAACAGGTCCTTGGATGGCCGATCCCTTCATCTCGCCCTTGTCGTTGACCTGACAACAAACGGATGAGTTGCGAGTGAGATCTGCAAGTTGGGTAGCGACGATGACGCCAGCGTTGTCCTCAAAGTAGACCTTGGATCCAGAGCAAAGGTGGCCGCACTGATTCATCTCTAACCTTGCGAAGCTGCAAAGACGCCCTCACGTCGTCGCCATGCCTTCTTCTGGCGAATCCTCAAGTGGCAGAGTCGGCTCAAGAATCTTAACAACCGAACAAGTTCAAACTTCGGGCCAAGGATCACGACACCTTTCAGCACTTTCTTCCGCAATTCTGGCTTGCCTGTGCAAACTTTGCTTTCAAGTGTGCCGTGTCAAGTCTGCCCGGCCTTTCTTCACGCTGCAAAGGACAAGGTCTCCCGGCGAGCAGTTGGGCAGCTTGTTCAAGCGGCCGCCAATGCCAATGACTGCTATGATGTATAGATTCTTGGCCTAAGACGTGCCCACGGCATCTATAGCACTGGCATTGCAGCTACTCTTGAGTCATGCTAGTCATTGATTCTGTTACAGGAAACGTCAGAGCCGTCACCGCGAATGGATGAAGCAATCATAGCAGTCACAGCAGAATCTGTGGGCAGGCAGGAGCAGCCGAGAGCCACAAACTTCATGGAGTCAAAGTCGCAGAGCAACGGACTCACAGGTTCTGTAGGCTTGTAAGGGGTTAAGGGCACGGCGATGGATCGAGTCAAAAGTTTCAAACTATGGCAAAGGTGTGTGGGAAACACAAGTTCCCAGCTGACAAAGGCTTGTTTGGATGGAAACTATCCCAGAGTGTGGGGGAAGGGGAGAGCGCAGAAACAACCGTGCAATTCCGTGCTTGCTCCACAAACCAACCACCCTAAACCCTAACCTGCCCTGGAGCTTGCATTGAGTGCTTGCATGTAACCCAGGCCAGCTTGTCTTAAACGCATGCTTCTGTATGTGATCTTCTCTGCTAGTGTCCTGCAAGAGTTTCCCTAAAAAACAAAACTCTCCAGGAATGGGTTTGCTTTCCAAGTTTCCACGCCTAGCGACACGTTCCCAAGTTCCGGCCATGAGGTTTACCGCGTGAGATCTCTTTTCGGCACGGGACCGGATCCTGAGCTGCCAGCTCCGCTGTTGTCCGCGCAATTCAGCAGTGTTGCCACCTGGCAACCCTGGGCCATTCGCATCTTGCCTCGCAAAGATGCACACGGTGCAGGTTGCACACGGCCAGGAAATGCTGCCGGGGCACATTGTTTTGCTGCGCGTCCTTTCTTCATTGCGGCAAAACACTCTGGGCCTATGAGGATCGTACCGCTGGGAGCCAAGAATGGGTTGTGGCCAACTACAATAGAACATGCTTTCAAGGCCTCGAGTGGCTTACGTCAAAACAGATGCAAACACGTAGCAACACCGAGTCAAGCCGTTCTCACGAAAGTCTTAACGAAGTCTCAACGTGTGACGTGAGGCGTGAGCCCTCGCGCGCCGCTTTCGCCGCTTTTGCCCGAGCGGCCTCGGCCCGGGCCTGGGCCAGGAGCTGCAGCGGCCGCCGCGCGGTCTGGGCCAACGGCAGCCGCCGCTCCGCGGTCTCCCGCGCCAGGTGCAGCCCGAAGCGCCAGGCCGACGACCAAGTCGGCCTGGTCGCCCTGGTCACCCTGGCACAAACCGCCAGGAGGGGCGAGTACTGGTTTGCATGCGCCTGGATGACATTGCCCAGGCATTGCCGCAGCAGAGTCAGACCAACAGTCCACTCGAAATTAGACTGGCACGCCCGCAGCGTGGCTTGCAACATGAAGGGGTTCCGCCGCAGCTGAAACTCCTCAGCCTCTTGCAGCAAAAGCACTGCGCGTGGCCACTGGCTCCGGGGATGTTTTCTGGTCCCTTTGCAGCTGAAGATCGCTCCATCGTACATGCCTACATGAGCTGTGACTCGCTCCTGCCGCGCCCTGCCAAGGAGCTCAACGACAGCAAGCCAACGTCGTGGCAGCGAGCAAGCCCGGATGCTCAGGATGTAGCTCAGGGAGCGGCTACTTGACTTGGTCGACCTGGTCGACCTTCTCATTCGCAGGGATTGCTGCCACTGTGACCCTGAAACGCAGGCGCGAAGCACCTCGGCAGTGGTGTAGGCGTCGGGAGCATTGCCAATCTTCGACTGGAGCAGCGCAAACATGGCCACTGCGTCTCGCCACGCTGCATCAAGCTTGAACCCGTCGCATCGCATTGCGGCATCGCAGCGCACGCGACTGGGGCCACTGGCGCCCGGGCTCGCGGGTTGGGCGACCGCAGCTTGCCAAAGGCGCTTGCCAGCCAAGATGTCCAGCACCGTCGGCGTCCTCCCAAGCGCCAAGGCCGCAGCCCATGCAGATGCGGATGCCAAGGCCACAGAACCTTAGGTCCACAACAGGCCTTGCCAGCGAAGGTCCGCCCGAGGCTCCGGCAGCGGTTGGGTTCCAGGGCCGCGCGCGCACCGTGCCGCAGCAGCGCCAAGGCCTGGCGCCACTCGCAGCGGAGGCACCGCCGCAGCACGGCGGCGCCCGCGCCTAAACAAAGCGCGTGGAAAAATACAAGGGAATGAAGAAAACTAGGGCTGAGCACCAGCCTGCAACGCGTCATCCCCCGCAAACATTTCCAGGCAATGAAAGGTGTAAATCTGTTCCCAAAAGAATGGAAACACGTCGTATGTACCTCTACCGCGCAACCCTCTGTCAGGTTGTTCTACAAGAAACACGCAGCACCTGGAGAGTTGTCCCTCCAGAAAAAAGCTACATTTTTAGACATTGTTAATGAATGCTTGACATTTGTTGAAGGTAATTATACATAGTCTGCGCTGATTTCTGAATTTTAGTTGGTATCTCCGCAAAAGCATATCTGCCCTTGAGTTACGCAGTACAGCGTAGGCATCTGATTTGTTAGCGGCCGCGTGTTACGGCTCGGCGTATACGAAAAAATCTAGGAGAGAACAAAATGGGCTTTGCTCTAGGACCCAGAGTGCTGTGTTTTTAAAGGATATCTAGACATACAGGTGAACTGCTTGTACTACATGGACCAGTCGGCGCGCTGAAGCATCAGTGGCCAATCCTCAAAGCGATGCTCCTCTTCCTTGTGCTCCTTGAAGCGGTCTCCTTGGCTGTCACAGTCAACGGCCAATACCCTCGCATCCTCAGGCTCCTCCTCATCCGCGGCCGGCCTGTCTCTCTCAACCTTGTCCAACCCGGCCTTCGCAGGAGGGTGGTTTGCAGGCATCTGATCCTGCAAGCAGTCCATGTAGTGCGATAAGAGCCTCTCGGAAAACGCAGGCCCTTCTTCAACCTTCACAAGTCTGACTTTGATACAGCCCGCGCCGTACGGAACAACGCCCACCTTCCTTTGGATGGAGACGCCGTGACCGCCCACAACATCGACCTCCTCACCAACACCTTTGCCTTCTACGGCCTCCTCGGAAAACCACACATGCCCGATCTCAATTGGCCTGACCGACGCCAAGGTAATCCTAAACCCAGCCGCAGAAGAAGGATCCCCAATAACTTTACCACGGAGTCTTCGGGGTAGCACGGCTCGTCTGATCAACGGCCTTAGCTTTGCAACGGACAAGGTTGGGAGCGAGAATCTTGCAAATTCTTGCATTTGCTTGCGTCATGTTGGGCTGGCGTGGGAATTTTGGGATTGGGAATTTCTGCAGGCCAAGAGGCTTGCCCAAGGCTGGGAGTGCGCGCAGGGCAGGGCAGGATGGCCGGTCGGCTCTTGCAGCCACTCCGCTAGCTCTCTCTCGAACATGTCTCGACTCCTGGCGTCCCAGAGGCCAAGAACTCTTCGAACTCGTGGCCCGCAGGCTGCCAGCATGACATCCCGACGACGGCTGGCAGTTGGCTATATAGAGCCAGAGTAAGGCCGGGCACTGCATCACTCCTCGTACGCCCAATAATATATAATTTTGGAGGGCCCTTAAATTCGAACCGTCCGAAGGGACTCTTCCTGCTCAGACACGCAAGCTGGCATCGTGAGAAGGTATGAAGTCATCTTATGTTTACTGTGATTTTGAGGGTCCCCATATTTGCAAAATTAAGGGGACCCTGAAAATACATAGATTTGGTTACATATTCAAAGATTTTGAGGGTCCCTGTACATTTATAGGGACCCTCAAAGTTTACAGAAGTTCTTACATTTGGTATGATATTGAGGGTCCCTATTTATGTACATTTATGGGGACCCTCAAAATACACATACTTTGATACATTCTTGGTGATTTTGAGGCCCCATTAATGTACATTTATGGGGACCCTCCAAATACACATGGTTGCTTACATTCTGGGTGATTTTGAGGGTCCCTTTTTCGTGTGCATTTGTTGCGACCCTCAAAGTTTAAATATTTCTTACATTTGGTATGATTTTGAGTGTCCCTATTAATGTACATTTATGGGGACCCTCAAAGTATACATGTTTTCTCACATTTCGGTGTGATTTTGAGGGTCCATGTTGTGTACATTTTTGGGGACCCTTAACATTTATATGGTTTCCTACATTTTGTATGATTTTGAGGGTCCCTATTAATGTACATTTATGGGGACCCTCAAACTAAATATGATTTGATATATTTTGCGTGGTTTTGAGGGTCCCTATTAATGTACATTGATGGGGACCCTCAAAATACATATGATTTGTAACATTTTGTGTGATTTTGAGGGGTCCCTGTCAATGTACATTTACGGGGACCCTCAAAATATACATATTTTGAATACATTTTGTGTGATTTTGAGGGTCCCTATGAATGTACATTTATGGGGACCCTCAAAATACACATGTTTGCTTACATTCTGGGTGATTTTGAGGGTCCCTATTAATGTACATTTATTGCGACCCTCAAAGTTTAAATATTTCTTACATTTGGTATGATTTTGAGGGTCCCTATTAATGTACATTTATGGGGACCCTCAAAGTATACATGTTTTCTCACATTTTGGTGTGATTTTGAGGGTCCTATTAATGTACATTTATGGGGACCCTCAAAGTATACATGTTTTCTCACATTTTGGTGTGATTTTGAGGGTCCCTTTTGTGTACATTTATGGGGACCCTTAACATTTATATGCTTTCCTACATTTTGTATGATTTTGAGGGGTCCCTATCAATGTACATTTACGGGGACCCTGAAAAATACAGTACATTTTGTGTGATTTTGAGGGTCCCTATGAATGTACATTTATGGGGACCCTCAAAATACACATGTTTGCTTACATTCTGGGTGATTTTGAGGGTCCCTAATAATGTACATTTATGGGGACCCTTAACATTTATATGGTTTCCTACATTTTGTATGATTTTGAGGGTCCCTATTAATGTACATTTATGGGGACCCTCAAAGTATACATGTTTTCTCACATTTTGGTGTGATTTTGAGGGTCCTATTAATGTACATTTATGGGCACCCTCAAAGTACACATGTTTTCTCACACTTTGGTGTGACGGACCCTCAAAATATATGGTTTCTTATATTTTGTGTGATTTTGAGGGTTCCTAGTAATGTACACTTATGGGGACCCTCAAAATATATATGATTTGTAATATTTTGTGTGATTTTGAGGGTCCCTATTACTGTACATTTACGGGGACCCTCGCAGAGCTCGCCGACGAGTGGACGCATTGCATGCCCAGACCTGCACCGCCGGAGCCCGGCCCGGCGCCTTGTAGCCCTCCAGGCCTGCCTCGCCCTGCATCGCACCGCAACGCGCCCTACTGCCTCAGATTCCAGGCCAACAACTACCAATCCAAGGCACACGTATGCATCGTTCCAGATTGCACGGGACAGCGGGCAGCGGGGTACAGCCACTCTGCACGGGCGGCTCAAAAATTTCTTCAGGCCAGCTTTGCCCATCAATCTTTGACAACTTGAGATGTCTCACGTGCAGACAATCAGCTCCACAGTAAGTGAAGGTGGTTGTACCCCTCACTCATACTTCTATTGCGAAACGGCTGGTGGAGAAGGCCAAGACGACCCTGTCTTAGTTTGGTGGTATGTTCGCACTGCCTTGGAGGCACCTTTGCTTTAAATGCGCGTTTCCCCCCTGGCCCGCCTGCTGCCCTGGCAGGACTTGAGGAGCAGCTGGCGGATCGAGATCAGGATCTGGGTGGGAAGAAAGTGGGCAAGGAGCAGTTTCCGGGCTGTTTTCTTCAAGCACGTTGCTTGCTGTTGCTGGCTGTTTTCACACACACACGTTTCTCATGTGAGATGAAACTTTTACGACAAAGACCATTAATTAACTTGAAGGGTTTTTGGCCTGCTCGGCAGAAGACAGGCGCCAGGAGGACCAATTTGCCGGCACTCCCGTTGGCGGGTCTTAGCTTTATCAAAACAGCCAGGCTAAGAAAACGTACTTCGAGCCATTGGCAGGTTAAGCAGAACATGCAGCAAAGCGCGTGCGATGTGCCACAAGCAAGCAACACAATTATCAACGCAACGTTAGCCCTCTCACCATTGCACAGCTCTTTTTTCCAACGCGGCAACGCAAGAGGTGGAGTGTCAATTGCTGCAGTCTTTCCATGCCCGGGTACCACCACGACCACGGGCGCCGCCCAGCCAATTTCTTCAAACGTCCTGTGTGGACTGCGTCCCTCCTCTGCCGAAAGCTCTCCAATCGCACGAAGGCTGCCAGCAACACCTTGCTCAAAACGTTGATGGACATACCATCGACTTGCTGAGGCCCAAACCACGTCAGCAATTTGTCGAGCAACTTGAGGGGCCAGCCTTAAGCCGGCCGGCCTCCGGGCAGCGAGGCGCCGTCTCAGCTTCGGCAAGTAGTAGCCCGATGGGTGCACCTTCAGGCGCGAGCGCGTGAGGCATGGGCAGACACAAGGCTGAGCAGACCGAAACTTCGGGCCACTGGCGACGTCCAGGATGTAGGGCTTTACCAATTTTTTTGCCATGATTGTGCTCGTACGTGGATACATCTGCGATCTCCGAGCCCTCTTCCGACACATCCAGGAATTTGGACAAGGATCGCTTTGAATGCTGGATCGGCTTGGACTTCGGCTGCGTTGCTGAGCTTGGCGCTGCAACAATGTAGACCCGCGGGCGAGATTGCGGAATGGCATAGTCCCTTTCCGGACATTGCATTGCGCTTCCCAAGCGCACTAAAAGAAGGACAGGGGTAACCTGCAATATAAATATCGCAGCCGGGGGCAGCACTGTGTGTTCGTCTGGTGATATCTTTTGATACAGGCGCCACATTGTGGCCGACCCGAGCTGAAAGCTTTACCGAGCACGTTGCTGCTTTGATCCTGGGCAAAAGGCCGCACATCTTCGACGCCAGCAAGTCCGACCCCATGCCAGCGCAGTCGCTGGTGACCGTCAATGTGCCCTGCGACGCGGGCGCCAGCAAGTCCGACCCCATGCCGGCGCAATCGCTGGTGACCGTCAATGTGCCCTGCGGCGCGGGTACAACCACGCGCTGCTTGGCTTTTTCTTCCGCGAGAGCCTCAAGCTCACAAATTCTGTCTCTAGGGCGTGAGCATGAGCGCCTGTGCTCGGAGGCTTCTTCCGAGCGAG